CCTGCTCTGTTGATGTACTGTATGACCCTCCCCCCTTAAAAAACCTCTTACCCAGGCTGTGTTCAACTCACCTGCTGCCTTTCTGCTGCTAGTTCTCTGTAATGCAAAATTGTACTTGGTAGCACAGTAATCTAAGATGCAGGAATATAATTATTTTATAACTTCTAGTAAAATTGCAAATTTAGTTTATTTCAGGCCACTGCTCTGGCTTTTTAACATGTTCCAAAATATTTTTAACAATGTGGTTTATACTTGCCATTAATAATACAGAACAGATGTTCACAGTACTGTATATCTGTTTTTATTATTTTCCTTCTTATAATTGGAGATGGGTAACCAGAAATATGTGGAAGCAGATATTTTCTTTATTTATCTTTATTATATTTTACAAGCATTTCTGTTATAATAAAGGATCTTTTATACACTAGAATTTTGTTAAATCATTGTTTTATTTTTCCAATGCTACTTGCAATGTTGTTTAAATGTTATGTATACATTTTTACACACAGCCTAGAGTTGTGGATATAAGTACTGGAATCTTTTATCTGTCAGTGTACCTCTTGCCCATTATTAAACATTCATCCTGGAAGTGACAGCTAGTGTTTCAGTGGTAATTTAACATGCAGGCTGCCCATGTTTATAATGTCTATATTCAGGATTTGAACGTCTTTGTAAGAATTACTGCTCATGCTGGCTGTAATGCTGGACAAATACATATGAAGTATGAAAACCCAAATCAAACAACATCTTTAGTCCTTCAGTCATCTTCAGGAAAGTGTTAGGGTAACCCAAGAAAATCATAAGCAAACTTCTATACATGATCATATCCGTGAGATATCCTTTCCCAGGTGGTATTTACAGCAATTTGCAGCTGAAGGTATTAGCAATACTGTCCCTGATAATACTGCATAGTGCAGAAAATATTAAAACATAATACCCCTTAGATATCTTTAAAAAAAAGGGATGTGTATATAGTATTGATAAGCAAAATTATTTCCTAACTAGTTCTAGGTTGCTAAAAATGCACCATTTGGTACATTATTGACAAAATTCAATTGTCTTGGCTCCCTGGAGAATTTCAAATACTGCTAATTAAAAACTATGGATAGGAACAGTTACTGTAGGTGAGCCTGATAGCTATGTTGTAAAACTGCAAGATGGACCATTATGCGTCGGTTTCCATCTTGTCTCTTGCTTGCTGGGTAAAGCTCTGGAGTCCCCCGCGACTCTGTACTGGATAAAGCTGGTAAAGAAAATGGATGGATAGACTATCTATTGGTAAAGTCAGTTTCTTTTTGTCCAGACTGTCTCATTGACAACCAGCCCTCGCTCCCTAAAGAGTTATATACAGACTTGGATCTTAAGTCAGTCAAAATATGCAGATAATAAAACAGTCTGACGTGATCAGCTGTAGTTCAAGTGTGAATGTTAGGTGTTATCCTGTGATTTGCTGAGTAAACCTTGTAGCTTGGGGTTACCGAATGGTAATCCTACGTTGCAAAATAGAACATGCACTGACCTGGGGGCCGGCACTTCAGTTCTGTTTATCTCAATAAGGGTATATGTCAAGGTTCACAACACAAACCACCTTCAAGAAGTAATGCACAATGAAACACCTTTTCAGCCTTCAGGTTAGGGATTGAGGGCCCTGCCTCTGAACTGTAATGTCATAACTGTAAGCAATGTTGAGACATTTTGGTACAGTAGTGCAACAACACCACTCCACTGTGACCTCTGAGAGAGACAATACTTTAGTTGCTTCTGACTCTATATCAACAGCATCAAAAAATCCAGACGGACAGAGCATCAGCAACATGCAGAGCTGAGTCGAACACAACCAAGCAGGAGATGTTCTTCCAAGCAGGAGTTCATTGTAAGACCTCCTGCAAACACTCTATAGCTTCCGCGCTGGCAGAGAACAGATGTATTTGTGTTCGGGCCCAAGGCTGCAGCTCTGTGGGGTCCACCTTGCCTTTCCCCGCATCAGTCCACATCTGCTGCCCGGCCGCTCCTGGGGCAAGGGGCTGTGCAGCTTGAGGCTTGTAAAAGACACCGGGCGGCCATTGGTCCATGTCCAGTTCCCCGTCACCCCCATGTCTGTCAGCCCTGCAACATCAGATCACACATTTACAGCCATATAATTAGTCTGGAATTACAGATTTATTTTTGTTGTGCAATTGGGAAGCCCATTTGTTTTAAGATAGAGATCTATACATGCTTGGGAGAGAATGGGACAAATACCCCAGCTCCTTGGACAGGCCCAACCTTGGAGCTGTTGATGATTTGACAGGTTGCCTAGAACAGCCACAGCAGTTGGGCAATTGTGTGCCATT